AACTGGCATCGGATACTTTCGCTATCTATCTACATTTATAAAGAAGAAAGTCTGTGTGTTTGTTCGCTAATAACTCAGTCACTGCTATAGCTATCGTCACTAAACTTTTTATAGTTCTTTTCTGGGTCATGGAAAAGGTCGACGTCCACTTTTGTTTAAAAAAAGGAAGGTTTCAGATTTTAAATTACGTCCAAGGGCGCGTTTTGTGAACGTTTTGTGTGTTACCTTTATTTATTAAATATCATGTGCTTTGCACTTAAACCATAAAATTCAGTTTAATAGCAATGTCGCAAAATAATTTTAAAATGAATATATCTTTAAAATTTCCGATACACAGCTCCGCGCGCTGGAGATAAAAAAGGTTTTTTTTTTTTTTTTTTTTTTTTTTTTTTTTTTTTTTTTTGTCCTTCCCTATAGTGTTGCCATTGCTCGCTTTGAAATCGTTAAGTTTGTTACTAAATTCGTTAAAGTTTTACAAAATATGAAATCGATAATAAAACAAATTAAAAGTTTCAAATTTGGTCTTCTACATGCCCTCATTCGTAGGAGGATTACGTCATTCAAAATTCGGTGGCTCTAGGTACCGTTGCTTTATCACAATGCGAGGAATATAGATACATTTATGCAGATTTTTCATTATTTAATTTTTTCAAATATAACGCAAGACTCTAACATTTGCTGGAAACAGTTTGAAACGTGAAACGGACATTTATAGTGATTCAACGCAAAATCGGAAAACGAAAACAATAGTCATTCAGGGACAAAGCCCCTTTGGACTAAAAAAGCTAAAATCAGAGATATTAATTAAAATCCTATTTAAGATGAGAGAATCATCTTAAACACTGGGTGGTCTTCTTAGAAAGCTTTACTTATTTTCATCCTCATTTTTTCTATTATTCTGCTATTTTGAATTTGTATTAATCTTAATATGTATGCTGTCTATTCATTAACATGAAAGTCTAAGAATTCGACTATAATTATTTAAGTTAAAAAATAGATCTAAAGTATTTAAACTATACATTTCGTAATTTTCATGTTATGATCCATAGATCAAAATTTAATAATTGCTATTTTTATCAATTCGAAAAACCTTTTTGTTCTTTAATCCTGTTAACGATAATTAATTTTGCAAATGTTTACCTGTATTCTGATTTTTTATTTTAATTACAGAAAACGAAGACGATTACTTACAGATTTTAAACAGCTTTGAGCGAATTCTTAGACTAAATATAAATTATTATAAATCTTATCTGCTAAAATGCTTAAAAAAGCAAATAAATGAATAACAGATCACGAAGCAATTTAGTATACTGAGTCACCCAGAAAAGTTTGTAAAAATAATATCAATAACCCTTCCATTTAAAGCAAAGCCCTTCTCAATTTCGACAAATTCCTGCGACTAAAATAAAGATGCATAACCGTTTTAAAAAATTATGGCTTTAAAAAATGTCTTTAATGTAAATGATGATTTTTTCCGTGAGCACGCTGTCTTAAAAGACGGTAACATCCAGCCAAAACTTTTTACTTCTTTGTTCTCGTAAAAATGTCTGTAATTTTCTGCAGGGGAAATGATTTTGAATAAATGTGCCGGGGGTTATGTCATCTTCTTAATTTATGGCAAAGCAAACGAAAATCGGAGTAACATAGCGGTGTGCCGGCATGAAGGTGCCGTTACGTTTATGAAGGCTACTTTCTTCAATTTAGAAAGTAATCTTCTTCACCGTTTTCACGTTTTCGGGATAGTTGCGTACGTTCGTCCGTACGTACAGATGTCATAAAAAAGGTCCATCCGAATCCCTTTTAAAACCATTTTATAATCCAATTTGGAAACAAGAGACCTTTATTCTGACCGTACATACAGAACAGCAGAGACGAACGCCTGCCCTGGTCAGGAACTGCGTCCGATTTCCCAGAAACCTTCCAAGCGCGCATCCCATGCGATCCCCTTATGCAAAGCGTTTTAGTTCGGGCACCACTGTAAAGTCATTAGATAATTTTGGAAGCAGGAGTGATGAAAAAGTAAGCAACGCCTTCGCCGGGAATCGAACCTCTGGAATACGCGCTGAGCGTGCAGACCACTATACTACGAAGGCATGCTAAGAAGGCGAGGAAAATACCTTGTAAAATCATAAATTTAAGGAATTTTCCGAAGAATCTTATATCTATCGCTCAACATTTGAAGAACCACAGCTTGTAGATTTATTGACAGTGTTTGCTTATCATTAAAACGTTAGAAGTGAAATTTAGCTAGATATTTCAGATACCTAAAACGGAGTCAAATGGACATGCACGTTCATTTAAATGTTCTCAGAAATATACTCTTAAGTGTCATTTCTGTTCTTTTTGCGCATCATAAACATTTACAGAACATAAAGATATTTTAAGAAAAAACTATATTTAATTCGTGTATCCTATTAATATGATTAGGGAGCATACTGCACAACATTCATGAGCTTTATATTTGCAAAAACAAAGAATTGTTTTTGCAAAGTTAATGCAATTCTTTGTTTTGCTTTACATGTTAATATTACGAGAAATGTTTTCTTTCTAATGGCATCATTACGCTTTAGATAAACTTTAAAACAAAATTAGAAATATGAAAGAGAAGGTACGGCATCATTTATTAAGAGCTCACATAAACATGACACACAGAGAAATCTTTTGTACAAAGTAAAGATAAAAGTGATACACATAAATAGAATATTTAATAAATTTTTAACAAAAACAACTTTTAATGATGATCTGCCATGAGTGACACGAAAATATATAAATAAAATTGAGCTAAAAACATTAAAAGAGCTTATTAACTTTTGGCAAATTATATAAATTCATAAGTTCAATGCTATATTTCATGACTCAGTTAACTAAATGTTAAATTAGTGACTTTCGTACATCCTTATACGGTATTATCCGAATATATTGCGGCATAAACTTCATATGCGGCACATAACATGCGGCACAAAAAGTATAATGCAGAAGACAAAACAAGAGGCGAAAACATCGTTAGACAAAACATTTGTGGTAGAAAACAAAGCAAGGGAAAACAACCTGGATGCAAAATGTAATGGTAGAAAATAACTCAGAAAAGAAACTTTCCATTTTTATAATACTGTAATGAAAAATAGAGCACCTTACGGAGACATGCGTCTTCGTCAGAAGAAATGAAGCATATTTGCATATTTTCACTCCATTTTTTTAAGGTTTCTTGAATTAATTAATAATTTTTATCTCAATAATCAAATAGAAAACTGAAGAACTTATAACCGGAAAAGGAACAGAAATTACATCAGCATAAAGTAGTTTACAGGAATTTAAAAATTTTGTTATTAACTTTGTTGTTTTAAACTTAAAAACTTATTATATAATTAATTCTTTTTTTTTAGAAAAATATTAGTAATTGGCTATGAAAAATCCAGTATAATAAAAATAGAAAAAAGAAGAGGAGTTGTATAAAGTTACTTGCGTTATAATTATTTGATTAGTTAACCCTTTGCGGCACATTTTTAGGTGTGTCCGGTCTGGACACACCTAAAAATTTCCTTGGACACACCTAAAAATTTTCTTCTGTACGCACAGAAAAATTGAATGAAAAAGGAAATATATGTTACTATAGGTTACTCTGAGCCTTCTTTATTTATAGTAGATGGCAGCTCAACACAAACCAGTCCATGTATTTTACCATGTTTAATTTTTTAAGACAATCATTTTTCAAAGAAATCTTTCAGATTTTTTTAGGGTATAAAAGGAATTGTTTGAAAGAAATTTCTATGTTATTTTTTTGGCTGTATGCTAATCTCCTTATTCTATATTATTTTTAAATTTTTACCTTGAAATCTTGCCTAAAAGCAAACGGCGAACCCTAGATGTGCCCAGATCGGGCTCACCGATAATCTAGGACAACTGAGAGTCTGTATTCTTTGTTTCTCCGCACCTCATCGGTCAGTTCATTGACAACAATGCTCTTTTCAGCACTCTTTTCGAAGCTCTATTTAATCAGTGGCCACTTTGGGCACACCCACTGAATTAAAACGATAAGTGCTTCACAAAATGTGACTTGTGCAGTCCTCTAGGCATAATTAGACTGCGTACTTTTTTTTTTTTTTTTTAATCAAAACTCCGACATTAAGCGTGCCGGTAGCGTGCCGGAAAGGGTTTAAGAGCATTAAATTATTTCCTTTCACTATTTAATCCGATATCTTTTCAGTAAAGACGGTATTTTATTTTGCTTCAATGTATTCCATCATATTAGAATGTTATTTCGTGAATATTTTTCATTTGCTTGTTGAGTTTCAACTATGACTAAACATGTCCATGTGGCAATTTTTTATTTTGCATATTCCTGTGTCGCGTATTGTTAAGATTAAATAAATTCAGAATTATGTCTAGAATTTTTTTAAAATTCCAGAAAGAAAGTAACATTCTTTTTTTCTATGCGTTATTTAGAGAAGTTTTGCAATATACGTTTCCAAATTTTGTTTGTGTAAAATGAGGTTTTGTTATTTAATAATAATAAAAGATACATAAGCCACTGTGTCTTAACTGCAATTATTAGATTCAAAAGTTTACGTTATAGGTTCAAAAATTAGCTTCAAGATTCACTAAGTGACAAAAAGCGTCTCAGAGTGTATTACTATTCAAAAGGTTTGCAATTAATATAAATGTTTCTTACCTACATAAACAGGGAACCACGTTCACGCTTTTTAACTTTTGACTGACGTGTTCTAAATCTGAAATAGGGACTATTAGAGAAAAGCGACTGAACGCTATTGATTAAGATGGCTACTGTACTTCGAGCAACAAACTTAAAAAGAAGAACACCCTTCGTGACAAAGGACCAAAATATTTAGTAACAAAGTTTTAAATTATTTTTCAGTTAGCACGAAAGTTAGCTCGCAGTCTGAAACAAAATCTATAAAAAAGTAAAGAAATGAAAAAGCTATAATTATGAAAATGTTTCACTTAATACATGAACATTTGAAGGAAATAGTTAAAAATGGGCATAGAAAATAATTAACCGTTTATTAAACTAATTTTTATTTATTTAGAATAATTATAATTGTAGTAGACTGAAAATGTTGCTTAAGAAGTATAGACAGATTCAAGTTCTCTAACTGACATTATACTTAAATATAGTTGAATTTGATAATGTGCTAACATTATTCGTTTCCTTTATTGCCACCAAACAAGATGGGAAAAGACAATGTGTACTGTGAGATGATTTTGCAGTGGGTATGTTTTGAGATAATGCGAATCCACAACCGAGCATTAAAGCCATGATCTAGCACCAGAAGTAGAATATAATATTTCTCGTCGTTTCGTTCACGAATATTTTAATATTAACCTACGTATTTTCATAACCGTTGCATTAGCTTAAATCATTTCGTATCGTCTTTGTACACAGCATATGAAAAACTGCAGATCTATCTTTATTATTACATACAAAACATTCTAGAAATTTTGTAGCTGAAAAGTTTCGTATATCCTGATTCCTTAACGTGACAAACAATGCAAGATTTTTCGCTTAAGATGGAGCCAACGTTTTAAATTAAAAGAGGATGTTTCTTTGTCATTAATAGACTTCATATCAGCAATTATAGTTTCCATCAGAAAATGAAAGGATCCAAAAAGTTCTAAGAATTTTTGCACCTGTGTGCTTTCTAAATGTGTCACATAATGAGTCTGAACATCCGGAATTGGAAATCCTGTTCTGCTATTCCGGCTGTATAATCTCGGTTAAAAAGAAGACTGAATGTAAAACTGGACGTAAAAAACGGACTTAAACTAATCATGATTATATTATTAAACAATACTGATGGACATCATTGAGCTGTAACAATGTAAATATATATTGAGAAATTAAAATTAAAATTGGGCATACAATGGATTAAGAAATATACATTTTAAAAGTGACACATATAAAAGACATATATAAATGTAAATTTAATCAGCAAGCAAAAGCACTACTATTTTTATCTTTCATTTGAAATAGCTTGAGACATTTCACGAAAACTTTAATAGCTTAAAATGAGCGTAAAACACATCTTTAAGAGTTTATGGTTAATGGATGCATCGTGCGTAAGACAGTCTATAACAGCATAATATTGCATTTGGTTTCAAATGCATTCGTCATAAAATATCAGTCATAAAAACCAGAAAAATTAAAGAATAGAAAACAAGTTGTTGATTTAAAAACTGAATGCCTTCAAATTACATTTTCTTCATCACATAGGCCTTATGATCGAACACATTTTTCGTGACCATTAATGTGGAAAATATTCAAATATCTCATCAGCAGCTATTTCGTAGCACAAGTATCTAAATGAACGTTTGCGATAAACTCTAGGACCAGTGCTTCTATGTTATCTAATTGTACAGAAGATAGAACAGTCATTATTGAAGAGATAGTACTTTTTTCAGTCTTCTATTTTTGCAAATTCCTTTAAAACTCATGGAAATAATTGCAGCATGCATGCGTAACACGATCTGATTACGACGATTACAAAGAATATTTATATGTAGTAAGCTGCTTCAGTTTAAAGAATAATTTTATCAAATTTGTGAAATGGTCAGTTGTAATTTCAAAAAAATCTGAACATTTGATTTATGTATTTTGTGCTGGTTTCAATACTCAATAACTTTTATCTTTTAACGGAAGTATAAACCTCAATTAGCAATCTATCAATTTAGTGTAGCAAGCAATTTCAGGGTCCAGTTCAGTTACATTACAAAACGCTTTTGTCCAGTGTAGCTATGGTGTCCAATACAGTAAAAATACAGTAGTACTTAAGCCTCAACAATTTAAGCAAACGAACGAGATTTTATTTTTTAAACTTACTTTAGATTGAATTTATTACAGTCGCGTGGAGAAAATATTAAAATTGGACGTATGTGAAGTCCTTGCTGGGATTTAGGTAGCACCTTTACTTGAGATATAGAATATACTACAAGAATTTATAACTCTGAGAGATATGATTACAAATTCTATCGTGACACGAAGAAAGTAGTACTGATTCTCTCATTAATAACTTTTTGGAAAACACCAATTTCAAAGCTAGTTTCGTGGAGGAAAATAATCTGCTTTTCAGCTAGGAGAATCATACATCAAACTGTATTACTTCAATGGAAATGCTTCAGAAAAGATGCATTTTACAACATATCATCTTGGACAGCAAGATGATTAGAAGAACCACTGCGTCTGGTATTCGGCGATCGGTTTGGAACATTGACGACTGTTGTCGTTGTCGTAAAACTGGTGCAACTGTCACGGACACTTTTAGTGCTGTATAAAGCCATGCTTTCACCTTGATGTGGAGAGAGATGCCCCACAGAATGTCGTGGACTTTTGCCAACAGATTTTTGTGTCCTCCATCTTTCCAAATGGTGTTTCAGGGAATTTTGAACCTGTAAATACGAATGATTTTAATTAAAATGTTAACCACTTAATAAATGGGAATTAATATATATAGATGAATTCTTTTAATCATTTGGTAATTCATCAGGAAAAATCAGAGAGAGAGAGAGAGAGAGGCAGTTTACTATGCTATTAAAAAAAGATCTGAATTAAATGTTGTTTGTAACTTCTTCAAAATGAGCATTTACTGCAATTGTGCATCGCTGGAAGAGTTTAGACGTCAGTGTCAGTGCAAAGCTCTGCATCGGTAAAAGCAGCTTGCTTCAATAACGATAAAGATCAGACATAATTCAGGTCAGCTTCAATAACGATAAAGATCAGACATAATTCAGGTCAGCTTCAATAACGATAAAGATCAGACATAATTCAGGTCAGCTTCAATAACGATAAAGATCAGACATAATTCAGGTCAGCTTCAATAACGATAAAGATCAGACATAATTCAGGTCAGCTTCAATAACGATAAAGATCAGACATAATTCAGGTCAGCTTTCAAAACTTGAATAACTTTCTACTTTAACTACTCTGATAGTTTAACTTTCGATTCTTTTATAATCTCGAATTAAACAAACAGCATTTCTAAAGAAAACACAAGAAGGGATGTAGGATTCAGATATGTTTGTTAGATGATGAAAATGTTCCGATAAAATAAAATCATTTATCATGTCGTCGTTAATTTTTTTCAAATAATGACAATTGCTTCTAAGGTTTCATAAATGAGAAATATGTATATATATGCATATAAGTGGAAAAATAAAAATTTTACTTGATATCAATTTCAGAATCTCGAGTTATTGATTATATATATATTTAAGTGACATATATAAGAAAGAATTCGAGCAACGAATTTACTCATTAATTCAGAAATTTAAGTGCTATATTTACATTCATACTGTATCATAGGTCCAATGCATTATCAAATTTGTTCTTATGTACCATTCCATGTTAATATCTAATTCGCAATGCTATCTATCTTAGTAATATGTAAATATCTATAACAAGTATGATAATTTTCTACATAAAATATGCTAATGGTACGAGCCGGTGTTGTACATGGGGAGAATTGAAATTAATAATATTGACAACGATGATTATATTCAATTTGTAATATAGTTGTTGTGGAATACTACAAAATTAATGCATGCAATTTTTTTATTCTCTTTTATCATTTTTCTTGCTTTGTTTTTATATCTTTTTTTTCAACAATTTTTTCCAATGGGGTGGCATTTAATCCCCCATAGATTCTTAGAACGAATATCATTAATTCAGAAACGAAGCGTATATCGAGCAACGAATTTACACATTAATTCAGAAATTTAAGTGCTATATTTACATTCATAATTTCTTATATTATAATATCACTAGAAGAGGCAGAACAATAGCGAGTGAAGAACAAGTCTGTACTAAAAACTAAGCATGGGTGAAATATAATAGGTTTAAGTGTTAACAATAAAAATAATAAAAACATTTAATAGGAACAATTTTTCAGATTTGTGTCAGGTTTTAAAGTTTGAGCGGATCTGCGTTCAGTTATTCTCTGTTTTATTAAAATTAGTTTAGCCTCCTTCAAATTTACAAAATAATTACATTATCATCTTTTTCTGTTCTGAAAATAAATCACAATAAAATTTTGCTCTTAGGAGAAAAAGGCCAAGAGAAGATACTTTTCAGTATTTATTTTACCAAGTGCTGTATGAAATAATGACTTCAACTCTGAAATAGTCTGCAAGCGTAAGAGTGCTTTCGTAGGAATTTCAATTATTTGTGAAGAATTGACACGATTGGAAATACACTACTGGCCACGGTAAATGCAACATCCTGAATGAAGCATACAAATAACATGAAATTTACAACATACGTTAGCGGAGGTGAGATATGCAAATGATTAGAATTTCAGCGCGGACGCACATCAAAAAACGATCAATTATGCCTCGTAGTAAACAGCGATCATCATTTGATCACGTATCCGAGTTCGACAGAGAAAGGATATTGGCCTACCGAGAGTGTAGATTATGTTTCAGGGAAATCGGGTAGTCGTGTTGGACGAAACCAAACAACTGTAATGCGCATATGCGACTGTTGGATGCAAGACGGTACGACGGACCGACTTGTTCGATCGCATCGCAAAACCATAGACGTCTCAGCCGCCAATGGTGCGGTGAAAGAAGGATGTGTACGGCAGAATGGAATGAAATTGTCTTTAATGACGAGTCACGCTTCTGTTTTGCAACACCACGATGGTCGGATTCGAGTCTGGAGACACCGTGGAGAGAGGATGCTGAACAGCTGCGTTATGCACCGCCACACTCATCCTGCACCGGATATTTATGGTATAGGGCGGTATTGGATATCACTCTCGCAGTCCTCTAGTACGCACTGCCGGTACTTTAAACAACCAGCGCTACATCTCCGAGTTGTTGGAGCCAATTGTCCTTCCTTACCTTCAGGTTACCCACAGCTATATTTCAACAGGATAATGGGCGACTACACGTGGCACGCATTGTCCAAGAGCTCTTCGTCAATCGCCAGATTGAATTTGCTTCCCTGGCCGGCTCTCTCTCCGGATCTTTCGCCGATAGAAAACATGTGGTCGATGGTTGCTGAACGATTGACCCAGATTACATCCCAATCTGCCACACCAGATCAACGCTGGCAACGTGTGGAAGCTGCTTGGTCTGCTGTACCCAAAAAACACATCCAAGTCTCTTTGAATCAATGCCGAGGCGTGTGGCAGCGGTGATCTCCAACAATGGCGGCTACTCTGGCTACTGATTCTGGAAGGAACGCACTTCACAGAAGTCTATAAATTTAATCATTTGATACTTGGTCAACATGTTATCTACTAGATAAATTTTGCTGTGATATCTTTTGTCTTTCTTGGTGTTGTAATTTGGGTGGCCAGCAGAGTATTTCAGTTGAAGCAGTTAAATCTAGGTACGAGACATTAAAGTCTTACTTATCAGCCAATGTAGAAAACAAAGCGTGACGCGTAAATTATGATAACCAGATAGAGAAATTGGAGGTAATAAGGAGACCTACGTCTATAATTCGCAATAGACAATCTTAAATGTTCTGTATTCTAGACGCACCATCGGTTGAAACTAAAAGTTAGGACAGAACTGCAAACCAATTAAGCAATTCTCATTCATTTTCTAACAGGTCACGGCCACATTTTGTCCTATATAAGCTGATCTGAGTATAGTGACGCGAACATCTGTGATCGTGGCAGGACCGATCACTAGATTTTTTAATGTTCTTTTAATCGGAACCATCATCTAAAACTGCCGGACCCTGAACACTGAACAGCTCAGAGAGAAAATGTGCTGTCCAATAAAATTGCACGGTTTAGGACTGAAAAAGCTATTAATTACTGTGCTTTCATATATGCCAGAATTTTTCATCGTCAGTAAAAACTTTAACTTTTAAGAAACGTATATGTATCTTCCCGCACCATTGTTCTTCTTATATGTATTTGTACTAATATTTCTAGTATTATTACGTATTTTGTTTTATGCAAGATTATGCAATTTATGTGATTTGCATATTTCTGTTTTATTATGTAGCCATACTGTATCATAGGTCCAATACATTATCAAATTTGTTCTTATGTACCATCCCATGTTAATATCTAATTCGCAATGCTATCTATCTTAGTAATATGTAAATATCTATAAACAAGTATGATAATTTTCTACATAAAATATGCTAATGGTACGAGCCGGTGTTGTACATGGGGAGAATTGAAATTAATATTATTGACAATGATGATTATATTCAATTTGTAATATAGTTGTTGTGGAATACTACAAAATTAATGCACGCAATTTTTTATTCTCTTTTATTATTTTTCTTGCTTTGTTTTTATATCTTTTTTTCAACAATTTTTTCCAATGGGGTGGCATTTAATCCCCCATAGATACTTAGAACGAACATCATCTTTGCTGTATACTGCATTCTAGTCTCCTGCATCTCTCATTATCGAATTTCTGACAACTTAGCTTAACGCGTCAATGCCACCATTGATGTCTTCCCAATTCTGAGAAGCAAAACTATATAACTTACGCAGTTTCCATTTATTTGTGTATTACACTTATTATGCTTATTTTTAGTATTATTTCAGACTGTTTGTATTAGTTGTTTTGAAGTAAGAAGCTCTTTTTGAGTCCTGAGAACGTTCAAAGGATTGCCCTACTTACATTAATAGCCTTTGCTTCCTTGCTTCATCGCACTTCAGCTTAATTTAGGTTTCAATGGAATGGTCTACTTTCATAAATTTAAGAACATTTACTATACAATACAGAGTGATTCATTTAATGAAAGGGTAAACATCTTATATTCTAAATCCTCTCCCCAAATGGTGTCATTATGCACATAAATTATATACAAGTCTATGCCTTAGCTATGTTTGATTTTAATTAAATTGACTTTCACAGGATTTCATCTCATTGTGAAATTCACTCTTATAATATCATTCCAAAAATAATTTTCTTGAATCAAATAAATAAACAATAATTTAATGAATTAAATCGAATAACGTATTAATCAGTTTAACAATGCTTGAAGTTTTACATTGCTGTTATCGTTAAACAATCAACTGAAAAGTTTTAAATGCTCAGCTTCAAGATAATCAAGTATTCAAAAATTTTCAAAAACTGCGCATAAAAGTAATTTTACGGAAAAAATAAATCTATTAATTAAAATATAACTAGGTTGTAATTTTAAGAATAACTGACCAAAGCAGTATACCATGTTTTAATAACTAAAGTCATAATGGCAAAATAGTTAGTAAACTAGTTAGATTTCATTGCAGACATTTAGTAGAAAAGTGATTATCATCTCAGAAGCTAAATTAAACATTTTTTGTGTAAAAATTCTACGAAAAGGGGGTGAAGATAAAAAATATTTTTAAAAAAAAATCTGAAAGCTTTCAGATTTTATACTAAACCCAAAGGGGTTTTTTTAACATTTTGTGTGTTACTTTTATTTATCAAATATCATAATCTTCGCACTGAAACCATAAAATTCAATTCAACAGCAAATAGCGCAAAATATTAAAAAAGAGCATATCTTTAGAATTTCCGATATACAGTGTAGCCCGCTGGGGATAAAAACGTTTTTTTTCGTACAGTGTTGCCATTGCCCTTTTTGAAATCGTTCAGTTTGTATTTGAAAATTGAAATGCCATTTTATAGTGGACGAGCATCAGAAATAAAGCTGTATATGATTTCTAAGGCATAAGATCTGTTAAGCATCGTAGCGATATATATTTTATGATATAAGAAGTTCAAAAATCATTTAAAATATGCTTTTACCGTTGCATTCATTTTTGAAATGACATTCTGATAGTAAACTTTTAAGTTTTTGCCTTTGAATTCCCCCCCCCCTCCTGTTTTTTTTAAACCGCAAACATGATGTTTTTATTTAGTGCTTTTTCCTTCGTGACGATTTTGCTCATGATGTTTTCTTCAGTATACTCTCTTTCTTACTCTCGGCTCACATTTTTTTATACATATCGCATATCAGATAAAGTCACAGCTCAGAAAACTTCATTTTCAGTATAAGTATAAAACAAAATAGCAAAAAGTTTAAATCTTTAACAAGGCCTTTCGTTGAATTTTGAAAGAACCACAGATAAAATTTCACTGAATTCTTTAAAACAATAGGATCATTATTCCTATTCATTTATTTCTCTAGACAAACCTTAACGACAATCTCATTGAATTATTTTACTTTAAATAATTCAATGAGCAATATTTATCACTAAATTAAGGTTTTCCTAATTTGTAATTAATTTATTATCAATTTACGTTCCTTTTTTACAGCTCAACATTTTAATTAGAGTTGTGTTTCTTCATTTATGAGGAAAGACATATTTTATTTAATCGTTACAAAATTATTTTCCATTTATCAGAAAAAACATAATAATTAAAATATCTATAAATTTTTCATTTCGATTACTTTATAAGATACATTATAGAATTGTTACAGGAAACAATTCTTCAGCAGAGTAGTGGACCAACAATTTGTAAATGCGGAATAAGATAGAGGGCATAAGAGATCGCGATAAAACTGTTAAAGGCGCATAGGTAGTATTTCTTCATAACATATTTTACTGAAGACAGTAATAATAAAGTGCTCTAACACGCAACAAAATAAGCTATTTCGATAGTAAAGAAAAATAACAAATGTTCATTGTCAGGACAACCGCTTAACCACAGAAAATGAAAATAAAAAGTAGCTATATTATTCGGAAAACAAGTCCATACACCCTTTTTACGATACACACATTCGCCCAAGCTCTGACGTTTTATTGAGATAAATGGTCTTGAACAGTTCAACATTTTTGCTGCGTGGAATAAAGACCGGGGGAAAAAGTGGTGAACTTTTGCGGAAAGCATTAAATATGGAATTCAGAGATAGAGAATATGTCATAATTTTCGGTTGCTTTGTAGTGTTTTGGAGATAGCCTTTGCCATAAAAATAAACTTCTTAAACTGGCAAAGATACTGGTGTTCTGTTTCTGTTTTTAAATTTGAAAAAATTTCATTTACTCAGTATATTAGATTCTGTTAGAATTTAAAGAATTTAGCTAAATGAACAAACAATATAATTGGTTGCTAAAGACATATCGTATAGTACAGTCAAAACGATATTTAGCAAAAAATTATATTATCAGCTTATTTAATCAAAATTATCTTCCGACATTTTTAAAAGTAATCATGAATGCTAATAACAAAATATATCAGCAGACGTAAAACCTTGTTTTGAAATAAGGATGACTTTCTTTTAAGGTAACAAAAAATTGCAATTTTCAAGCTACTTGCAATTATGTCGCAAAATGTCAGTCTTCATATATAAGGATAAATACTTCACTGCAGAATAATAAATTACTAATTTTATCATAATGGTATGTAAAGCAGAAACTACCACATTTCTCCATAACACATTTTGCACGATACAAATAAAGGACTTAAATTTAAAGGGGAATTCTTTGAATGTTTTCTGAATTCAGAAATGAATTTCTGAATTCTTTGAATTCAACATTTTTTGAATGAACTTTCTTGAATGTTTTCTGTTTCCGAATTATATACATATTCAGAAATTCATTTCAGGCATAACATTCATAACATTCAACCTTCTTTGAATGTTTTCTGTTTCCGAATTATATGCGTAACACCTAACGGTTTAAATTTTTATGTTTTTAATAAATGTCTTTTTAGTTTTATTAGATAACAGGAACACAAATGCATAACAATTATATGCGTGAAAAAGTACGAATGAGAAATTTCGTGCTGGCAAGCATTTACTCCATGTAACAATAAAGCGCGACTATTTCTCTATGCATTAGACAGTCGTTAGAACCGAATCACCGGGAAATGAGAAATAAAAATTTTGTATATAAGTATTCTGTAGTTCTTTTGTTTTGACGTATTCCACTTGCTTGACAGTAACATCAGAAAAAGCCCACAAAATTCATCGTGACAAGGAGAGCAAGCTTTCATCTGTCGTTGGCAACAGCCTTTAGCACCCTACAGGTGACAGTGTGACTTCGCTCAGTTTCGTCTCCCATTTTGATGGAGAGGATCCTGGGAAAATGGGTCCGAGGGTCTTCCACCCCTCGTTCCCTACCATCACCTCTCGAGAGGGCTTTCGACTCGCCATATATTACAGTGCCCCATGCCGAAGAGACATTACACATTACAATCATCCGTGCCCTCTCTGGAATCCGAACCCGGGCCCTTCGCTACCGCAGTAGGCACTCCTAACCGCTACACCGTCTGGGCGGCTATAAGTATTCTAATATTCTAATAGTGTATAACATATATTAATCGTTCCTTAAGTCTTCCATATCACTGATGCATATGGATAAATTTAATAAGACCGTGTGATCTTTATTAGTCATTCCCATCCTGTAACTGCAGAAATCTTGACTTTTTTAATATATAAAATAGTCAAGTTTAAACAGAATCAATCAGAATTTAACTATTTTCCTAAAAAGCTGATTTTATAGGAATATTTTTTGCATAATGAAAGAGCATGTACTAGACGAACAACAAATGATACGGGATCGCAGGCACAGTGAAACAAATTCATTCTCTTTGTACTGAAATAAAGAATATTTTAAAAATATAAATGCCTGCATGCATTATTAAACCGCCTGTATGGCTTTATTAAATAATAATAAAGCCTGCATGGTTAAGCATGAATTATTACCAAAGTTAAAAAAAAATACTCACTTCTCCATTTAGAAAGCAGTATAACACGGCAACAACAAAACCCTGTCGCAAAGAAAGAAAAAATATTTTTAAAACATAGTGATAACTGGGTATAAAATAAATACTAATAAAAATAAAAAATACTAATACTTCTTTGGAAATATTTTATACAGAATCCGATTTACAAGACGGAGCAATATTATACTATTGTAACGAATTTGTACATATATATGAATAAATTTAGTGCAATTATAGTATTTTTTGTATAATGTAACATGAAAATCTCAAGAAGCAAAGTTTTGCCGGAAAAATAAGAATTCAAGGGGAAGTCTATTTAACATTGAGTAAATGGCTATCTCGCTAAACTTGTGAGATAGCGCCAAGTTGGCGATGGTTTGGCCACTAATTGTTGTCGCTAAATTTGGCGAGAAATCTCCAAAATTCCCCCAACTTGGTTACATTTCGGTCCTGTCCGTGTAAAACTACGCAGGTTGGCGTATGTAACCGTACGCACGGTGAGCATGGGTTCGAACCCCATTACTGACACCGAAAACTGTTGCGTGTATACTGGTTCGTAATAGACTGAAAGTGCACGAAACTGATGATAGCTTGATAAAATTTATTTCACCAAAAGAAAAATCTCACAGTTCTAGTAGTACGTCACGCAAAAATACTCGTACAGCTCTTCACATTATCACAGAGTGCAATCAGGAATTACACTTCAAACTAGTAAGAACGTTAAACAAAACGCAATGCAAAGCATATATGAAGAGCGAAGCTCATACGAAGATATCTCAATACTCCAAACTCACATTCTAAACAACTACTACTCAAAAACTGATGTTCTTCTCTGTCTTATATACATTTATTCCGGCCGTCAAAAGATTTTTAGTACCATCTACTTCTTGAAATTACTAGAAGGCATATAAGCGCCGAATACGCTTACAGCTATATATAACATCAATTACAGTTATTCAATTACAATACCCTTTACAGTTTTACAAGGACTTGACCGAAACGCGGCCAAGTTGGGCAACTTTCATATTTTTATCAAATTTGGGGACAAAAATTAATCACGAATTTCGCGAAATAGCCATTTACCCAATGTTAAAATGACTTAACCCTATACTGTACAAACAGATTATTATAGACTTGGCCCTATATTGCTTTTCAGGGAAAGCTTCGCTTTTTTGTATTTTCAAGTTACATTATATAAAAACATGATGTCGGAAAACATTACTTCCTTGTACAGCCTATTAAATTACTCACATTTTTTGTTGCATTGTATTTAAACTTTTCTCATTTCATTAGAGATATATTTCTCATTTAATCAATTCAGTTCTCACTTCGCGGTAAGGAAAAAATAGATAAAAACTCAAAACACTTTCATTCAAAATTGTAACATTCAGAAAAACTAAAACACCAAACAGAGTTAAAAACCATTAAAATTTTTTTTACAATTAAAATTAGAGTTTAAATTAATTAAAATTAGGCAGAAAGACCCATTTTACGGTGCACAAAGCTTTCGGTCTCACCGGGCAAAAATACAACTAAAGTTGGTGCAGAGACTGACTTAATTCACTATGCTACTAAATTTGAAATGTAAACAAATGGCGACATCGTTAGGCTTAGTGGAACTTAAGCAATTTTAAAATTGTTGATAATTCTAAAAATATTGTATGCAGATTAACTAAAGGCATAAAAACCTTAACCGAAACATAAAAACAATATAATTCAATCACTTTTAAAGCAAAAGAATGCGCAATTTACGAACATATAAGAATGAAAAAACGTAGCTCACAGAGCCGGGAAACAGAGTGGGTATATGTATACATACTTCTGGTGCGGCCGAATGCAATCAAAAAGGGAGGTGCACATCTACCTGTTATAGTAACCCCATATACAAAATTTTAACGTTCTGAGGTTACTTGTTTTTGAGTTATGTGAGATATATACATACGTACGTACACATTCACGCACACACGTACGTGCAGACGTAACGAAAGAAAATCTCTTCTGAACCCATTTTGAATCCATTTCACAATCCGGTTCGGGAAAAAGAGTGCTCTATTCTGCTCGTACGTACAGATATAACCGATAAACATCATTCGGATGGAGTCGTCAGCGGTCGAAATGGGTTATTTTTGTTAAAATACGACAAGCGAAATTTTTCGCATTTACAATACTTCCTTTACTTTGTACAAGGAAGTACAAATAGTACAGTTTGATAGAAAAGTTCACTAAAATTATTTATATATGTGCCAAATTCTTATTAATCATATTACGATGCTGGGCATATTAATTGTCTAATTGCTCTCAAAGAGTGACTGCCTTATCTATTAATTAGGGTTAAAATTTCGAGGCTATCTACCTATGATATGGTGCCTTAAAATTCTTTTATGATTAAAAAGAAATTAACATCATATATCCTGCGCATCTTTAACCATGTTTGTAAACAATCTTGTCAGCTGCTTTCAAGCCCGTGTGTCCTTGGGTAGATGATGGATATCAGGTTTAGCGTATAAATGCAGTCAACAAAATACACATGATACTTTAAAAGCCAAATATAAGGGATATAAGAATGTCTTACTGCGTTTTGCGTTGCACAAGTCCACGAAATTCTATTGGCAAGGAGAGAAAATTTGCGCCTATTGTTGGATAGCACCTTGAGCACCATTCAGGTGACAGTACTCTCAGTTCCATCCCAGTTTGGATGGAGAGCACCCCGGGGAGGCTCTTCGCCAATCACCAACCTCTCGAGAGAACTTTCTGTTCCCCATATATTTAGGGAAACTCCATGTCGAAAAGACACTATACATTTACAAACATCCATGTCTCCTCCGGGATCCGAACCCAGGCCGTCAGTATCGCAGTAGGCTTTCCTAATTTTAGCTAACTTTAGCTTTGTCCTAGTTTTAGAGAATCCGCCAGAAATAACTCCTTAATACTGGTGGACATAAGAAAGCAAATATGCAGTATGTACTTTGCTTCACAAAAGAAACATCCCGGTGTGCTGTTTGCTGCAGTCTATGTGGAACAGTTGATTGTCCATTCAAATGATCCCACGACAATGTAGGATGCTACCACATAATGCAAGCAACTTGCTCACGTTCTGAATGAAACGTATCATGCAGCATGCACTCTGTGAGCGTCCATTAATGTTTTTGTTTTTATGAAATCAAGAATGATGCACACACTTTGTTCGTTTGTTTATTTGCACTATAAACATCACTTCAAAAACATGACTTCCATTTCATAGAGGTTAAACGTTCTACTAGACTCCACACAACGCATGGAATTATTCAGGAAACAATGCAAGTAAAAATTAATTTACAATTATCTTGAAATTAAAAGACTGAATAAATACTTCTGACTGTAGGGGGTTTCTTCAATCTTTCTTTAAAACAGCTTTACGAGAACATACATTTTAAAAGTTCAAGTATATTTTTTAATTCTATTTGTAATAAAATTCCAAAGTTTGTAATAAACGGTAACTTTACAGATTAAACATTTTTCTAAGGTATTCCTTTGAACAAAGTTTCCTTTTTTTTTCATTATTAATAAAATGTGATTGACTTTTTCATTAAGAAAAAATAAAGAAAAGAAAAGATCTGACTATTGACATAAATTTACTTATTGTACTGAGATTTAATGTAATTCAGAATTTCCTAAATATATTAAGTGTAAAATATATTATAAAAAAACTGAATTTAAAATAATAAATTTTCACGCATCCAAGGTTTTGAATATTATTATCCTTTTCTCTGATGATTTAATTGGTCAAAGTCAGTTCATTAGTTATTGTCAATACACATAATTACGAAATGTTATACAATTCATCTTATAAAAGCATTTAAGGAGTTAGAAAAGCTTAATTTTTAAGGAATGGATTAGTGTAAAATATCATTTGCAATTAGATTGAAGGAAAAGAACAGACTGAATTTCCAAACCACTCATTTTCTCCATCAAAATACATATTCATGAAGGCTTAATAATATTATCTTCAGTTTAAGAAATAAAGGTTTAGCAACATAATTTGTGCATAAAAAAAAAAAAAAGACTAACCGTTAGCATTAGTAAGATAATTTTATTATATTTCTGTTGACATACAGAATAAAGCTTTTTAAAATATTTGTTTAACCATTAGAAGCTCTTTTTATTTACATTAAGTGGGAAGAAAATTGAATAAGAAACCTTATAATAAGTAAAATTTCTAAAAATATGAAAACAGTTGGAATTTTTGATTTGATTTATTTTATTTTAATTTATTTATTTTTTTTTTTTTAAGAACTAAAAAATACGGAAGTTTTAACTCTATTTTTCTCAATTTCTACAACAATAATCTTAAGCAAAAATATTAATTAATGCTTTACAATTTACTTTATTTTGAAAGTAAACAACAAAAATGAAAAGATTAAATTTACTTAAAAGCAATGAATAATACATTTTTAAATATGCAACTCTGCGTATTTAACTTTCTTGTATTCAACATGTCGCTATTGCCATTGTTAATGAAAAGTCAATTAAATTAAAACTTAAATAAGCGAAGTTCAGCGTGTCACAATATATTTTATATTTTATTAAAATTCAATTAAATATTATTTGCGTTAATGCATGCTGATTTTTTATGATAATTCATGTGTAATCAGTTATTTAACTTTGTATTACTATTCAAATAGAAAATGTGTACAGTGCGCCTAAAATTCATGTTTTTTTCAGTTTGTTTACAAAAATTAATTTAAATATTTATATACGTGTTTGAACACTTTGAAAAATTATCATCAATATTTTTTTTCTAATGGCAAAATATTTCTGTTGCATATATTTTACATTTACTACAATATTCACAATTATGAATGTAATAATGTCAGGAACCTTTTTCAACTGTAGCCTTCTTATGAACTTGTATATATTTCAGTTATAACTACATGGGGCTTATTTACATCGGTGAGGTTGTATATTAAAAATATTACTTTCTGTATCAGGGTAACTGGCGTTTGAGGATATAGTGCAGAAAAATATAGTAGGAATAATGCGGCTTACCTGTATTGAGAGCAATGTGGCTTGTATATAGACAAACACTACTTCTGCCACTGGATCACTTGGAGTAGCGATCACTATAATATATGTAACTCCCAGAAGTGGTATCAACACAAGAAGAGCTTTAGCAGCTTTCCTAAAACACAATAATATAATTATAATCGTTACCAAAATACAGTTTTTAATATATACAGATTTTAATAAAATACAGCTGTTTGTTTGGGAAAAATATTTGCCAAAAATGCAGCAAGAATTCTTTCAAAAATTAAAAATAAATAAGTTGTTAAGAATAATTGATAATATACTTTTTCAAATTTTTTAAAATTTCCAATGTCTCTGCCAAGTTGAGCGTAAATTAAATTGAGATTTTCTGCAAGATTTGGCTATTACATAACTTAAAACTTTGTTGCTCCTATTTTGATTCATTGAATTTTAATTGAAAATAAAAATTGATGATAGCATGTACTGACGAATTTTGTCCATATATAAATAGTTTTAGTGAAACAGTTGTATTTTTTTGTATAATGTAACATTAAAATCTAAAGAGGCGATGTTTCCCGGAAAAATAAGAATACAGGGGCAAGTCTGTTTAACAGTGAGTAAAGCGTTATCACGCTAAATTGGCGAGATATCGCTAAGCTGACGATGGTTTTGGGAATTAATTTTTGTCGCCAAATTTATCGAGAAATCTCCAAAAGTCGCCAAACTTTGTGACGATCTGGTGACATTTTGGTCCGGCCTCTATATAACTGTAATATGTATTGTATTTGGATAACTGTATTTAATATATATATGCAACTGTAACTGTATACGGCCTTCATTGCTTTTCAGTAATTTTGAAAAGTTGTAAAAGCAAAGTTCGTACTAGAATAGCGACTAAATCAAACCACAACAGTGCTTTCAAATTGGTACACTGAAAATAACATGATAGTAAATTTGGATAAAACTGCAGTCCAGTCCTTTTCACTGACCCATCAGGCACTCTGCCCTGAAGTAAAGTTTGAAGATGCTTGGATTGTAAATACTAATAAATTTAAATACTTAGGCCGTTATCTCCAATAACAAGTTCAGTTGGAGACTACATGTAGAACCACTTAGGGAATGCTATTATCAAAGCTTGACTACTATGATACGTTTAGCTGGTTCCTTATGCGGAAGCGCCAAAACGGTTACAAATAGTACTTACAAGACTTTAATAACCTTTTATCCTCCATTGCTGTGAACATTGTACTACATTGCTTGCATAACAGCAAGTGAGCAAATTCTCAAAAAATGAGAAATTTTCCAAAATTAAGCAATGAGACATATTACTGGGGGTGTTAATAACCTACTTCTAATGAATTATCCTATATCAACTCCCATGAACAAAACATTTGAACTATTATTGAAAAAGAACTATTATCGAAGAAACAGCTGTTATCAAAGTTGCTCCGCATTGGAGATCCTTTCTGGACTTCAGGGCACAATTAGAAATCTCAAGACCAGGTGTAGCTTCCTATAAAATGTTCGTAAAACTAGGAGGGAATTTAGTTTCATCGATCGAATACAAGAAAATATCCTATCAACAAACCCCTTTTCTATATTGCAAGTCGAGATACACTTTAACTTGACTGATTCAGTTACCAAAACTGAAACATCTATAGAGGTCTTGAAATGCCTTGCCCTGGAAACCATTTATACTAAATACCCGAATCATAACTGGGTGCATGTTTATACACATGGGTCATATAGTGATGATCTAATGTCCACAGGTTCGGGAGTTTATTCTAGCCTTTTTTTATCCCTCTGCTGGGAAAAATCAAAATGCATTTAATGGTGAGGTGGAAGCTTTTAGAATTGACTTGAAGCAATTATTGAATTACATAATAAATTCGAGTATGCGGTCCTGCTATCAGATTCAAGAAAGCTATTCCAGCCATTGGCTCTTTAGAAAGCCTTAATCAACAGAAGTTCTTTAGTGTAGAGAATTAATCTGAAGCCTATTGCAGAAAAATAAGAAAATTAGAATTGGATCTCTGGACACAATGACATATATGAAAATGAACAAGCAGATTTCCTCGCACGAAAAGATGTATCAGTATTACGACCAACAAAATCAGATATGTAACATCACTCAATACCGCTAAATATAAAACAGTCTATGAAACAAAGACATCTGCTGAAATTGTTGGACAGCATTAAGACGAAATAATGGAAAGCTGAAGATTTCGCTCGTTTGCCAGAAAATCCACGACGTAACGCTATGGCCCATTTTTCGGCTACTTATAGGCCAGGATTGCCTGGGCGAACATCTTTACCGAATAGGTATACTTGTTCAACCATCTTGCCCACTCTGTGATCTTATGGAACCCATGAATAGAACCTAACTTCGAAGCTGTGGGGCACTTCTTGGTTATGACTCTGAGACACTCGATATTGGTGTGCAAGAGACTGTCTTAGGCAATGACTTTCGGCCACTTCCTGTTATGTTCTGTATTTAAATTTCTTGTATTTTTCTTTGCCTTTGGTAATTAAAAAAAATCGAGACATACTTCAGATTTCTTAGCGGCCGGGAAAAAACTATATAAGACCAGAGAAAGCACCTGTTTGGTTGTAGTGGTTATTAATTTAGAGCTGAATTTGGATTATTGAGATATTCATCTTAGCTACGCTCTTTAGATGCATTTTGCTTTGCGTTGTATTTAACGTTCTTAGTAGTTTGTCCAAAAGTAGTCTAAAGAGCTAACCAAAGTTTTTGGAAGTGTAGCTACTGATTATATTCTGTGTTACTGTGAAGAGCTGTAAGATGTGGAAAGTTCCAGAACTACAAGTGTTTCTTTTGGTAAAATAAATTTTATCAAGCTACTTTGGGTTCTGCGTACCTTCAATCTATTACGAGCTCTTACACACGAAACCATATAAATAGATCAGCATAGACTTAACGTACTTAAATCATACTTTTGAAACACAAAAAAGGATTTATTTTATGATTTAAATGTGGCGTCAATACGCGTTTCTAGAAAGTTTTTGAATAAAAATGTGTTGGGTTATACGGCCTTTAACAAATGTAGAATTGATTTTTGAGTACTTACGTTTTAAAGAAAAATAGCACTTTTGGTAGACAAAAAAATCTTTCTGCTTGGACGTATTTAAATTGCATAAAAATATAGTCGTAGACTGCAATATATTTATATCTCTCATACACGTTTTTTCTATTTGTACAATTTGAGTGTTTAATTTTTTTTTTTTTAATATTTCATTCTTGATAACACATTCCTTTTGCTATGCATTCCATCTTGGGAATTATGTGGCCATAAATCTAGGATTTATATATTTTTTCTTTCAGATGAAGATCGTAAATCATAAAATTTCTTAGCATAGCTATAGTTCGTACGAAACTCACAGCGTCTCACTGGACAGAGTGAACGAAGATCTCGGTTTTTGTTTTCTTGCTCAGAATTTTATTTTGTTCCAGCAGCAAGAATCCAGCAGACATCAGCTTTCATTTGCTTTAAAATATTGTAATATTTTTTAATTTGTTGTTTTGGTTTTCTTCCTTTTTATTTGTAGTCTAGAATCATATTATTTTTTCCTTTCATAGAAAATAATGTATACAGTCACATTTGATTCATTACTGAAAAGATTCCAAAGTCATTTGATCTATTTATCTTGTATATATAAGCAACATTTCTTTTTGCATCTAAAGAGCTAACATAAGTTTTTGGAAATGTTAAAAGAATAAGATATTTCAAAAGTAAAAATTAATTTGATAATGTAGAATTATGCCTTTTAAAATGTTCACTCACCACCTGCTGTTTATTTAAACATTTTATTACTTTAACCTTTAACTGCCGTGACAATTTTTTCGATATAATTATTGTGAGCGGTCTCACAGACCGCTTTTAGGAAACGTGTAAAAATATATACTTTTATGCCTTTTTAAGGAATATTATAGATACTTTATGCATTTTATAGAATTCTAATTCATTTAAATCAACACATTTTAAAGATTAATCATTTAATTTTACGTGGTTTAATTCATATTAAAAATGACTATTTTCTCCGTTTTAAAGAACAAAAATTTTATTAAGCATGCATGAAAGTGTGAGACTTACTGCCAATTAAGCCACAGATGTACAAAAATGAATTTAATTATAAATTATTAATATATTAGTATACCTTTGTTTACAAGAATGAATCATAAGATGACACGCAGACGAAACACATTTTTTGACAGCACTGAAGACACACTGGTTCCTTGTGTTTCAGCCATTTGTTTGCTGTTTTTCTGTTCTTACAAGGTGGGCACAGACCATATGTTTTACTTTTTTCTAATTTTTCTTCTTGATTTAATAAATCCATTCTTTTAATTTCATTCCGTCCAAAGATTGTTTTTATTGTTAACTTCAGTTTCCATGGAGAATAAGCGACAGTTATTTAACTTTTAGATACGGTTTAAAAGTTGATTAGCTAATAAAAGCATTTAATTTTTTCTTTTCACTTTTGTAGCATCAGGATATTACTGGAACAATATGTATGAACATAAATTCCTAGCTCTAGAGCCTATTTTTTCAGGATGTTTCAGACCCAGGGAGCTGAATAATTATGTTATGCTTTGGTGTTCGTACCGCTCAATTTGGCTCTGGTTTGCACCATTTAAAGTCATGTTTTCGATAATAGTTATCATTTTGTTCACAGTCATTAGAAAAATTATCATAGTCATCTGCTGAAAGCTCAGGTTTTTGCTTTCGCTGTGAATACTACATGATTCTTCAGAATCAGAGTATTCGGCATCAAAAAAGAAAAAAAAAAAAAAAAAAAAAAATTGACAAGATATTCAGTTTCTTTTTAGTGATACATTCGGGATGTTTTCTTGTAAAATTTGAAGCCATATTTATCACTTTTACGAAAACCAAGCATACGATAAATAACGCCTATCGTCCACTAACACTGTTACGCTTCTGCTGTGAGCGGTCTTCCAGACCACTTAGAAAGTAAAAAACGTGGTAACTGAAACCATAATAAAGCTAGAAGTTTAAAACTGGATGTGTGACCTTGTGGGACTGGTTTTGGAAGGTAGGAAGAACAGGGATTAATCTTTGTGTTTATGGGTGGAAACGTTAGAAAATCCTTAGCGGTCTCTCAGACCTCTCACAGCAGTTAAAGGTTAACACTATTTGTTACCTAAATTGCATTGACAGCTGAATATTTAATTTATCTTATCTTTTTGTACTGTAATTCCAATTCACTTTACTAGGAAAAATGTAGATATTGGTAGCACTTAATAAAATGCAGCAGTCACCAGAATACAAGCAATAATAAGTAGATGATAGGTGCTAGCAGCCAGTTTCAAGCTATGCAAACCATTGTATAAGACAGCGTGGTCTCTAAAACTGATTTAGATGTAGAATAACAAATTACGAACCTAATCCATATCGGAAAAGGCAAATATTATTTATTAACGGTTATGAGAACAAAGAACATGCCGATTACACTCCAGCATGAGATGTGCAGTTTCTGTTTTTGAGATAAATTCATTTCGGTCTTGGACTAAGAATTTATGTTTTGGCGAAGAACGTGAAGTTCTGGTGATGCGCTGGTGGGGCGACTCCGTTATAGTAATTGGTGTTCTTTGCATTTTGTACGAGGTTACGTTTTGTTAGGTTACGTATGGAACTAAAAACACATTTATTATAAATCTACCAGAAGCTCTATTAGCAATATAACAAGGACAATTGACTATTAATATTGAATGCATAAAATTAGCTATTTACAGGTAAGTTATTATCCTGATTATATGAAGATCTTGCTAGCGGCAAGAGTATCTCTTGTTGAAAATCGTAAAGCGTTCTGATTAATTGTTGTGTCTAGAATATCTTGCAAACTGAATTAGTCACGCCCTCTTAATTTTTCGGTTACGTTTTACGTCGTATTATTCGTCTTATTCGTAGTATATATATTGCCTGATTTATGGAATGTAGAATTGATATACGGAGAATCGTAGAATCGTTGGCCTGTCGGCGGCCTGAAATCTAGAGTGATGGCAGATATAGCGATAATCGCTAAATTATCTTGAGACTAGTTGTGAAGTTATGGCTTTTGTAATGTAAAGTGTAGGTGTTACAGAACAAGTTATTGCTCATGCAAAGCCACAGCATTGGTCTCATAACAGCTCAAAGAATACGAATTGTGTGGGGGCCGCACACGTGAACTTTTTAACCTTGTTTGGTCATTTGCAAGCACTTGAGTCTAGCCGAACTAACATAAACGAGATGAAAAGGTTATATCTTACCTCACGGGAACTTGTTCCTCCAGAATGTAATACAACTAAAATATGTATTTTTTCATTCATATTTTATGTTATAATAATCTTTATATAGAATTTGTTGCTTGTATTTCGGAGCTTTGAATTTCAACTAAAATAAAAACTATCATATCATGTTCGCTTAGATATTAGATATCTAAGAAGGGAACTTACTTTATGAGATACTCATTTGGATGCATAATAAGTGAATAAACACAAAGTGTTTGATACCATGTTAATTTGAGCGTTGGATAAGGAAAAAGAACTTGTTTTATAACCTGTTCATCTAGGAATGAATAACGTCAGTAAAACGAAATCAAAATTATGTTGTACTACTCGATTAAGTATTTTAGTTTTAAATTTTTGTGAAAAAGACAGTGTGAAAGTAAAATTTTAAAAGGTAAAAACGTATAATTAATCTTATAGCGCAAGACAGCTTCCTGGACTGAACGAATATGGCAAAATGTATCCATATTAATAATAAAATATTTGAAATTTTGTCCAATTAATCTCACTCAGAATTCCATATTCTCCTTGTATGGTTTACCTTCCTTCAGAATTATATTTTCCATTTTCATTGCATAACTCAAAGAGAGAAAGCGTTTTATTTCTTGTATAAAATGTGAAATGAAGAAAAATTATTAAAGACCTTCATTGTGAAGACCTTTAAATAATAACATTTATTATGAGATATCTTAGAAGCGGGTCTCATACAAGAAATTTAATTTCTTTCTAATTTGGATTTCGTAGGCATATACATCTCCTAACGAATCATTAATTTTCTGTGCATTGTTTATTCATTTTGTAAAAAACACATCATCAGTTCAAATATTCTTCTTGAATGTGAAGAATAAGAAAAGGAAAAATTGAAAAAAAAATTCTTTTTCTATGCTCGAGGAACTTTGCGAAAAGGATTAGATTTCTTGTCACGTTAAACTGTTTTCAAATGCTATGGAAAATCTTGAAAAATAAAAAAGGATAAGCGCGAATGCGAAGAAAATCGGCTTTACTACTTTAAAAAATTATACGCTGTTCACGGAATAAGTAATGGATGTGAAAGCAGCAAAATGACTTATAAATTATCCACACTAACCTGTACTGCCTGGATTCGACTGTGTTCGAAGCTCGTAACTTTGTAATCAGCACCCACATTATTTTCGCTAGGAAAAAGATATTGATCTGAAAAAAAGTTTTATATATATAAGATAAACGTTTCGTATCGACAAAACAATAACAGCATTACAGTACAGAGCTGATTAGACGAAAGCGTTTAACCAGGGTTGGGAGATGTTAGCAAAAGGTTAAAGCCTAGAATTTAAGTAGAGTTAAGATAAACGGAATTACCTGAAATATTTCGATCATTGTCTCCCCAGTATTCGATAATTTAGTTCTTGAATTTCTATGACTTTTCGTAAACACGTCTGACGTCTCGAGAATTCGCTTGCGGATAGTGAAATAATTACAACCGCTCAGAATGAAAATAGAGAAGAAACCGAGGAGGAAAATAGAAAAATGTAGCATATGCTCAAATTTCCTGAGCATATCTTTGTAATTACCCGTACCGAAGCGTCAAAAATGTTGGAAAAATTAAGCGACTTCAGAATATTGTTGTTTTGCCATGCTAAATGAAACAAAAATAAAAGATTACATTTCTAGATACTTGGCTTATTTGCAGAAAGATATGGGGGATCTGCTTTTATTCTAACTGCTAAAGCACTCGCCTACGAAAGAAAGGTATTGGATTTGATGCTAACCAGCTCAAACTATGGCATCTCTAGAGGCCTATCAGTGACTGAGAGGTACAATAGCTGAATGCTGAAATGCTAGTACAACAGCTGAATGCTGGAATGCTAGTACAACAGCTGAATGCTGAAGAGGGTCGAGCCGGAAAATCTTCACAGCAAGAATCTACACATTCGTACATTCGTAATTACCAATGTGTAGATTAAAAAAAAGTAAAAATACAGAAATTCAATTGCTTATTTAATCTTGTGTTTCCTCTGGTGAACATTATTGTATGGCAAATAAAATAATTGGAGCTAAAATTTATTTGTGTTTAATTAAAATAAATAATGCATGCAGTGAGCCTGACTTATTGTTTGCAGGATTAACGTAACATTATTTATTAGAAATAGTTGGTTTCCTAAAATATAGTAACAATTATTCAGAATCCCATATAATTCCATACTTAACTTGAGACTGCACTGTATAAAATATTAAGACCAAATAATTTTCATATGTTCTTCATCTATAAAAGTACATATACAGAATATGATGCATTCCTTAACATATATTTAGTTAATTTCATCTGTTGTTAATAATCTTATTAGATTTTCATTAATTTCAAATTCACCATGTGGCTTGGGACAAGAACGTGGATTTTTAGTATGAGAAATGATTGAACGAAAATGGATGGCATGTGCATTCTTGTTCCAAACTAAGGATAACCTGAGAAGTGGTAATGAATGTGCAATTACTGACAGAAAACTTTTAGAAAGTAAGAATAAACCGTTCTTACTTCTTACTAATTTCAAATTCACAATGATGACGACAATTACCTGCGTATTTATTAACACAAAGGTAGTGCAAACAAAGAGATAGTAGGTACGTAAGATATGAAAATACCTATAAAAATCCGTATAAAAATGTATTCTGTCTTTAAGTCAACCGTCAGTTAGCAAACATTTAAATACTGTTAAAAATGTCTCAAAGTCCCCATTTGATATGTACATCAGCATAAACAGATTAGAAACAGTTCAAGGTCAGTCGAACATCTTTAAAGACTTTAACATTCTCCAAAGACATTTTCCTAATGCAGTGTGATTTAATTAGAAAAGCTGGGAGTTTCTGTCAACGGACGATAATGTTTGATTTTATTTAACCATTCTAGTGGAGGAAGATCTTAAAATTGAAGATACATTTTGGCAAGTTAGTTTAGAACATACTAGGCAATTCAATTCTATTGGTCATGTCTCGTATGTCACAGGATGGCAAGGTGCAATACGATTGCCCCCTCCCTGAGTGTTATGAAGATTAGGTCTGCCTTGCTGAATGGATGCAGGAATGGATATTTATCCTACGAGATTTAACTAAGTTTAATTAATTTTACGAAAAGACGTTATGATGTCTGCATATGAATTCGTGATAATCGTTCAGGGATTCTTAACCTTTTCTGCCTTATGCACATCTTCCCTTTTGAATATCGAATTAAAAACATCATACCAACGTTTAAAAGAATTAAAATATTACTTAATACTTTAAATAAGTTTCTAAGATTTATTATTTAAATAAAACATATGTGGCCATAAATATCTCAGAATTTTGAAACATGTATTAATTTTTAATAAAGTTGCAGATACAATTATAAGTAAAAGAAAATTATGTACTTACATTTTTTAAAGTTTACTGTCGTATATTGAAAGTATCAACACAACACACATAAAAATAAAGTCTTCTAACGATTTTCATATTGATCCATCTCTCGCCTTCATTGAGAAGCAATGCGAGGTTTCTCCAAAATTTAAATAAATTTCTCAACGCTATTACAATTTATCAATAAATTTTGATTAGAAAGCCAAGTTGCCAAATAAGGTTCAAAGGGCAATTTTTTTTATTCCGATACAATAATCTTGTAATTACAATAACAAATCATCTTCGAAGCGGGACATATATCCATTTGAAATCTGAGGATTCGAAGAGATGATATCAAATTTAAAAATGGCGCGGTAATGCAAAATATTCAGGGTGATTACATCACGCATAGAATTAAAATTATTTAATAATCTTCATAATAAAATCATTTTCTTAATGTATTTTAATATTTAACACCATAAATAATGTTTAAAACATTAGATTAAAATTTAGATATTAATAATAAAACCTTTAGTTTTTAATTAAGGTGACGTCATTGATTAATCATCCCAAACATAAATTATATAAAATATTATAAACAACATATATTATAAAATATTATAAAAAGTTTATTTCAAATAAAAATGCAAAATAAATTGATTTTAATATTTAGAAGCCATAAATAATATTAAAAACACGGAATTTATGCATAATAAAGTATTATTTTTAAATGAAATGACAACAAAGTATCGGTTACCATAAAAGAACTTATCCAGAATGGGTTTACATAAATCGTATACTCGCAAAAAAATCGCCAAATCCGTGACGTCTACCAAGTAGCACCAAAATTACAATGAAATAAGCTAATCCCTTAATACAAATATTAATTATCCTAATAAAAATTAACAACTTTCCGTTGAAGAAAAAAATCAAAAACTTTTCATATCTACAAACAGTGAAATAAGCAAAAATACATAAAGCAACTCAAAAAACAAAACATTCCGCGCACAATTTTCTCTGGAACAACTTTATAAAAAACATCAATAAAAATGTTTATATATATAAAAAATCAATGAAATATGCCAATCTGTAAACATTTACATAAGAAATACGATGAAAAATTGTTGAAACCCATATTTCTAAAAGAATGAAACTATTCAAATGATGCGATTTCATCAAAAATCTATCACAACAATAAGAAGGAATTGTACCAAAATCACATTTTAAAGATGTAGAAGTTCTCAGAAGCTTCGTTTAATTTTTTTTAAAAATACAAAAATTATCATTTTTCTAAATTCTTTTTGTAAAAGCAGTCGCAAGATGCAAGTTTAACGTGTCCAAAATCAAAGAATAATAAACTGTACATTTTAAACATAAACGTTTAGAAAAAATGCGTTGTGAAAGGTGTAAAGCTCACTTGTTAAATAAATCGTATTAAATCGATTTATGAAACCACGAAATTTATTAAGTTCTAAAAAATAGCTAAGGCCTACATCATGACGATGAGAAAATGGAGTGGTAGAGTAAAATCTCGCTTCCTATAGCCCTTTATATCTCAAAATGACGCGATTTCGTCACAAAACATAAAATAAAAAAAAATCTAATTCGAATTTCGAAAAAATCGCTTCGAGGTGCACTGGCTCTTGTCTAGATGCATCTATGTACCTAATTTCGTAGCCGTGGGTCTATTAGCTTACGCGCAGCGCGAACGAAAAACACACACACACACACACACAGAGACAGACTCTTTGTTTTATTATATGCAGAGAAGAGATTAACATTATATCATTTCTATAGATTAACGTATTAAATAATCTACTTAATCGAATATTCTTTAATAGCGTGCAGAACTCAGAATTTAAAATACCTAAAAGCGCGTTTCGAATACCCTAGTGACTTCACGCAAAGATCTAGATATTTTTTCACAGGTAAATTATTTTCAAGCAGTAGGAGAAAATTTTAAAAACATATGGGAAATGTTGAAGAAGAGATATCAGAAAGCGAAAGGGCTTTGCTACCTTTAAATCCTGTTCTCAGTCATATATTTTCAGAATAACTTTATGCTCAGAAAATGCATGCTTCTACGTAGCATAATAACTTGCTATTTAATTTTCGCATTCTGTGTATAAATGTCATAAGAATGTTTAACTCAGCGACGCTTGCAAAGGATTTATGAGCATGAGGTACACGATTCCTGACGCTTTCATGCTCTTCTGAAACATTTAGAAAATTTATGTACTTTAAGAGAAAAGTGATAAGGCTTTCCGGCGCTTAGTTTATTCATTTACAAGACAGTTTTACAGGTTCTGGAAACAAAGATTTTATAGCACCGAGACAATTTTTAGCCTCTTACAACCTGCTGCTCTGCAAATTACCATTCAGAACAAAGTATTGTATAATTAAAGAGCATTATGTTTCGGGTAATAATTTTTAACTATCTTGAAAAAGGTTCAATGATTTAATACATTTTTCCTCTAGATTCTACAAAGCATGTACTAATGATCTAGATAGTATTATGGAAAATGAGAAACAAGAAACATAATTCTTCTACAAAATTATCGATTAATCGAATAAAACTTTAATTATGGTTAATTCTCTCAAAATTGGGCATTCAGGTTTAGCATTGGAAAGTGCATTCGAACAAATAATTCTTATAAAAAGTAGAATTAATGGAGTCAATTATTGAATATCATTAATTATTTACTTGTTTCTAATTAGCTTCTTACTTTCTTTTTGTTTGTTTCTGTAACTGTGTAAATCACTAAGTAAATATTTTGAATCATTAAAGAAAATATTTTAAATCATAAACATTAGAATGGGCAGGAAAT